TGGGGTATCTGAGCCCATAGGCTTCCCCAAAAATTCTCTGTAGATTCTGTATAAAATGGGGTCAGGTATCTGTTTCCCATGACGAGACTCTGCCCTTTGACATAGCCTTGTCTGGGGATCCTCTCTGCCGGCAGAGAGTTTAACCAGCACAGCTGGAGGCGAATTTCCAATTGCAGACCAACATACAGTATTTACTACTGTATTTATGTGAATGGGGACATACCGATTATTGTCTGTAGGTATGCTATAACAATTTTCTTGATTTCAGATGAAAACTTGAGAATTTCCCCCCGCCATACTTCAGTGAAATCTTCATTTTTCAAACTTAGCATTTATAATTTAGATGTATTAAAAAAGGTATCGGTTTAAACTGATGCTAGGGTTAGTGTGTACAAAGATATGTTCAGCAATTCTGAGACATAATTGTCATTCCTGCAGTTGTTCAAAATATGGATCTTATTCTTTGTATTGTATTTAGTTGGTCTATTATACAGCATTCTTTGTATGGACAAACTGTAATTAAAAAAAAAAATGTTTTGGTGGTTCTCTTTTTCCAGGAAAGAAATAATGGTAGATATATCAAGCACTTTATTCCCTTCCATCCAGCATTTTTAAAAAAAAATTTTAAAAATGTGATTCATTATATTTTTATTTTTTTTAATTTTAATTTTTTTTTATTTACTTATTTTTATTTTTTTATTTACTTATTTTTATTTTTTTTAATTTTTTATTTATTTATTTTTATTTATTTATTTATTTTTATTTATTTATATTTATTTATTTATTTTTTTTTATTTATGTATGTATGTATTTATTTATTTATTTATTTATTTTTTTTTATTTATTTTTATTTATTTTTTTATTTATTTTTTTTTTATTTTATTTTTTATTTATTTTTTTTTTTATTTTTTGTTTTTTTTTTTTTTGTTTATTTTTTTTTTTATTTTATTTTTTTTTTTTTTTTTGTTTTTATTTATTTATTTTTTTTTTATTTGTATTTTTTTTTTGTTTTTTTATTTTTTTATTTTTTTGTTTTTTTTTTTTTTTTTTTTTTTTTTTATTTTGTTTTTTGTTTGTTTTTTGTTTTTTGTTTGTTTTTTTTTGTTTGTTTGTTTGTTTTTGTTTGTTTGTTTGTTTTTTTGTTTGTTTGTTTTTTTTTGTTTGTTTGTTTTTTTTTGTTTGTTTGTTTGTTTTTTTATTTTATTTTTTTTTTTGATTTTTTTATTTTTATTGATTTTTTTAATTTTATTGATTTTTTTTTTATTTAAATTTTTGGAACATAAATTGGATAACCTGTAGAATGGATCTGTTAAAATAGCAAGAACTAAAGAAACCAATATCCAAAAAACTCTTGGAATGATGAGTTTTCTTAACATTACAAATGCTATGTTTGTACAACTGAAGAAAGTTGTAGCAAAACTATTTCAGTAACAACTAATGTATAAAAATGACCACCAGTTTGAATGTCATGACAATGTCTCTTCTCAAAATTACAAAATCTGCATTTTCTATCAATATCTTCTGTCAACATTTTTATTTTTTTTTTATTAATATCATCAAAAATATACAGCTTGCGATGGATAAATTGTCGTCTGAATTATGCAAAAACCGAAATAATATTGCCATCTCATTTTAACACCTATATTTACCAAAATTACACAAAAATATTTTGAAATACCAAAGAGTAAATTTATTCAATATTCATTGGCTTCAACCACGGCCTCCAGGCAACTTCAAAATCTTCTACAATTCTTCTGGATAGTCTCTTTGTTTAAGTTGGTGATCACTACCATAATCCTTGCCTTCAGTTCATCTTTGGTGTTACAAGGAGTTGGTCTCTCGCTCAACTGCACCCGACACATAATAGTCAAGGGGGTTGCAGTCTGGGGAGTTAGGTGATCAGATTTAAGGGGTGATATGGTTGTCTGACAGCCATGACTGGGTATTCTGCTTATGTGGTATGGTGCAAAGTCCTGTTGCCAGACATAGGGTCTTCCAGCAGACACCTTCCTGACCCAGGGCAGCACTAACTCCTCAACACACTTGGTGTAGACCTCTGTACTGAGTCTAAGGCCCTGTGGGAAGAATGGAGGCATAATGTTGTGATCACTCTAAACACCTTTGTAATCACCATTAGTCTCTACACTATCCTCAGATTTGACACCCAAACACTCTGAAATGTTTGTATTGGAGATTCCAGCATGAATGCCAAGCAGTACAACATGCCATTTCCAAATTTCAGGCAGAGCGAATTGTCCTCTATTCTCACAGATAGTGCCCAATTGACTATACTGTATAGTTGACAAAAACCAAACAATGCGTATGTGCAAAATTAAAAATATAAAATGGCGATGACTTACTCATCTCAACCTGTATTTGATAAAATGTCAGAAAGCACTTATCTCCTTGACAAATGTGGTATGATACCAGTTTGATATCAAATCCTTAACAAATGTGGCATATCATTTGATATCAAATCCTAATCTACAAACATCACTTGTATAATATCAATGAAACACAACTTTATCAAATACATCAGGATTTCAAAGATGTTCTTGTGAAAAACGTCTGTTGAAACCCAAAAGAAGTGCTATATCATTGCTGCTCAAACTTCTCTATTTGCCACCCTCTTGGCTCCCAGGCCCCCTTCATAATGCTCCCTCCTATATTATTTTAGTTTTTAATTGTTTCACCCCAAGCAAGGAGATCATGCTACTAGAACACAAGGGGCTACAGGGAGTAAAATAGAATGAAAAGACATTTGTGAGAAAAAGGCAAAATAAAAAAAGACAAAATAAAAAAAGACAAAAGAGGGTGATTGTAGTTATCAGGGAAGAAAGAGTTCCACAGGTGAGAAGTTTGAGAGAAAAAAAAAAACTTTTCGAGTAGAAGTAGTGGTTGAATTTAGCTAGTTCAACAGTAAAACAATGAGAGCTGGTTACCAATCTAACAGCAAGCTTAAATTCATGTATTTGGGGCATCAAGGAAAAATTCTCATTAGAACAGTTCCTATGTAAATGTTTGTAGAAAAGACTGGGGAATTACGTCACATTGATAAGAAAGTGATGAAAGTTGATGCCTGCCTGGATTGATTACATTACAGATCCTTCTTTGAATTTTGTCATGAATCTCAAGATATATAACAGGATCACCAGATCAGATATGGCAGCAATATTCAATGCATGGATGAATGGTAGATTTATAAATGTGCAAGATGGATTCTGATGAGAAAAACTTTGGCTGTGGGAAAGTAAAGTCGTGATTCTAGGTGAGGACAAATAACATTACATTCTTTGGATTTAGTTGAGAATCTCAAGATATATAACAGGAGCACCAGACCAGATATGGCAGCAATATTCAATGCACGGATGAATGATAGATTTATAAATATGCAAGATGGATTCTGATGAAAATTTTCTGACGTGACATGGTGAACCAACATTCTTTGATGCAGACATGGAAGTTAATTCAATATAGCTGTTCCATGTCAGTGGAAAATGTGAGGTGAAGAAGGTGTAGAGTGTTGTTCTCCTGGAATTTAGCATCAGCCATGCTGGTGGAAGGCAGAAAAAGGTTCTGTTATGATTAAATTTGTTTTGCAGGCATTAAACTTTACAAGCAATTTCTTGCTTCAGTTAACCATGGATTGGAAGCCATTTTCAAGAGCAGCTGCTAGGTTTACTTTGTTGAGTTTATTAGATGTAGTAAGACAGGTGGATATGCTTGGTATTAGGTATGCAATAAATTCAAAACAACTAATTTCCCACTGTAAAAATATTTGCAGTTGTGTTTAGAATTCCGAAACATTTTGAAACTCGCATCTCAAGTGGAACTCTTATATACGGTCTATCACTGATGTTGCAGATAAACTGATCAGCTCCTTGTATCACTCCCTGCTCATGACTCTTCATGCTATCTTCTATGTTTTTAAGAGCCAGATCAGGCCAAAAATGTACTGATACCTTATTTGGCTGCCCTGTCCTCATTTTCCAGTTTTGATAGACTTCAAAAGCATCTCTGAGTCCTTGTTAGAGAAAAATTATTTTCCACACTCCAACCTCTCTTTCACAGACAAGTTGTAGTGAGTTTCTCACTGCTCTATCACTTCTCCCATGGAAAGTACTCAGATTAACTAAATTCCTTGGTTTCGCCAAGCCTAGCTTTCACAGCCACTTACATTGTAGCAAACTGCCCTCATTTCCTCCATATTTCATCGGCAAGAAGTTAGTTCTGCTGAATTCTTCCCACAGACCAACCACTGCAGTGGATGTTTCCTGGTTACTACAATCTTAACCTGTTCAAGTCTAGAGTCAACTTTTATCTTCTCCTTGTATCTATATAAACTACCTGTTAGCTTAACCTTAGAACATTAACCATCAGTTAAAGTTACACCACTACTAACTATTGGTATATCATACCCGATTTTGAAAATATCAAAAAAAATATCAAATATAAATCTTTATTTGAAATATTTTACATGCAGGCAATTCAAACTTTGTACTTTGAGTTAACATTAATAGGAACTAAAAAACATTATTTAGGTAAGAAAATCAGGTACTGAAAAATGTAGTTAAAAATAGGAAAATTTGCGCTGGGTACTATATACCCATGGTTAGTGTTCTAGGGTTAAGCTTCTACCTTGAGTGGTTCCTTGGCCTTGTACAGGGTGGACCTTACTGTAAAAAAAAAAAAATTTAGAATTGCTTGAAATTCAAGTACCTTACAATTTGTTTTTTTTTTTTTTTTTCAAGAGTATACATTTGGAAGTTGTTGAAACATTTCCACTTTTGAAGTGCCAGCATCTGCATGTTGGGTCATTTTTATGACCCAACATTTTCTACAAGAATAAATGCCTATATTCTATTTTGTTATTGTTTTTAGTACCCAGGCTGATCACTAGATGGCAGCATGGTTCAAAATGGAAGCAAAAGGAATATTTAAAAATAAAATAAAAAGCAAAAATTTTTGAAACCAACTTTAAACAAATTTTCTTTTTCTAGGCTTGCTCTTGAACGAGCCAAAACTTCCCGAGAAGCTGTAGAAGTCATCACAACATTGTTGGAGAAGTATGGGCAGGGTGGAGAGTGCTATGAGAACCAAGACTTTCAAGACTGGAAACACAATAATAGTTTCTTGCTTGTGGACCGAAATGAAGCATGGGTCTTGGACACTGCAGGACAACACTGGGCTGCTAAAAAGGTCACAGGTAAGTTTCCTACCTATAAAAGAAATTAATATTTCTATTTCTCTTTTTTTTCATCTTCAACCTGAAACTTTACTGACCTTCAACGCCAGAGATTCCTAAACTTTTTCTACTTGCCCCTGGGTCCCAGGCCACACCCCTAGCACCCTCTTTATCATTCATACTATATACTCAACTGATAAATGTTTTCACATTGCTATAGATAATATATTTTGGATAAATTCCCAAAGTACAAACACTATTGCCAGTATATCAGATATCAATTACAATAGTTGAAGTGTTTAATCAGCAAATATTTAATAAAATGTTCGAACACTGTAGTTTAAATAAGTCTATATTGCTGTAACGTCACTTGTACAAATCACAATATCACTGGTTCAATTCCCCATCCTCGCTTTCTTCATACCTTACTACGTATAGCCGACGTTTCTTTCCCCCTTTTTCACTGCTCCAGCACTTATCAGGCCAACACCACAGTTCATCAGCCAATCAGTATTCGTCGCTGTTATTCTCGGTTACACAGGCAAATTGCCTCCTCCAGTTCGGACCAATCAGCACATGACTTGCTATTGGTGGAAGCATTCCAAACTGTACAAAAAACCCTCATCCTTGCACATACTGCTAGAATGGCTGGATGGGAGAGTAATGCCATTTTTCACAAAGCAACCTTGCTGATGTCACGTGTCACACGTTAAGGTAAAACCCTTATTTTCCTATACACCAGATGCAAGCCACTCTGGCTCACTTGCTTCTATGGGGCTGTTCACCACAAACACTCACATCTCCCAGACAAATGTGTTATATAATTCGATATCAAATTCTAATCTACAAATGAAATCACTTGTATAATATTGATAAAGCATGACTCTTGCCAAGTGGGTCACTTTGACATGGTGTAATGAGCTTGTCTTTCTATGTCAGTTATGACGGAATAGTAAGTTCACTCTTTACTGGGGGCCCCATACTTTTGGCCTAGTCCTACATCAAACCTACATCTAGAAATTGGGCACTTTGATATGGTCTAATGGTTAGAAAGCTTGCCTTGCTTGATCAATTATGACTGAATAGTGAGTTTTAACCTTATGCCATATCTAAGTTAGAAAATCATTGGGCACTTCACTGTGGTCTAATGGTTAGCAAGATCAATTATGACTGAATAGTGAGTTCACCCTTCACTGTGTGCTCTATACTTTCGGCCTTGTGCCACATCTAAGATACGCTTAGAAAATCACCATGACTCTACCAAGGGCTGCATGGTTTACAAGATGTACTTTTTTTTCCCAATCATGCTAATCCTGTACAAGACCCAAGAGCCACTCAAGCTAGAGGGTTACAGAATAAAAGGCACAGTTTATAGGGATATGTGGGGACCCTAGACTTGAACAGGTTATGATTGTAGTCATTGTGGAAGCATCCACTTGGGAGTTGGTTCTGCACACCAGTGCTTCATGGGAAGACGCTGCTTGAGTGGAACTTAGACTTCATTGATGAAATCTTAAGGGAATGAGAGGTTCATGACAATGTGTGTGGCATGGCAGGTCTTAGCTGTGAAGGTTAGAACTGCTGGGACTAAGGAATGTCATTCACCTGAGCACATTCAATAGATATAAGAACAGTGGCGAGAGACTTGTAACATTTTGTATGTGGGGAAAGTGGTTGTAGGGTGGAAAATAATTCATCACCTACAATGATGTGGAGATGCTTTTCCTTTAAAAAAAAAAAAAAATCTTCCAAAACCCAATAGAATTGGAATATCAAAATTACTGTAGACCAGTGATTCCAAAATTTTTTTCAAGCTGCTACCCCTGTTGGCTCCCATGCCACATACCTAGCACTACTTTTCTTCATCTATATAATGGCACTTCTTTGATTGTAATTTAGTACTTCGTTTCATTTTGTAATTTAGTACTTCGTTTCATTTTGTAATTTAGTATTTCATTTTGTAATTTATATTTATATATATATATATATATATATATATATATATATATATATATATATATATATAATTTTTATTATTTGGGTCTATTATTCTCATTTTGGTTAATGAACTTATAGACAATGTTTCAACCAAGTACACACTGGATATCATCAGGAGCCATTTTTTTTTTACAGTGCGGATCACCCTGTACAAGGGATGGTGAGACATTTGAGGCAGAGGGTTACATTAAGAGTCAGTTTGTATGGATAGCAGGGGAAGATAACAGTTAATCCTAAACTTGAACAGTTTATGAGTGTAGTGATTGGAGGAAACATCCTCTTGGGAGTTGATTCCACAGAGCAGTAGTTTGCAGGGA